GGGGGGGGGGGGGGGGGGGGGGGGGGGGGTTGGGATCCGTTGGCGGACACGGAAAAAAAAAAAAAAAAAAAAAAAAAAAAACAGTAGGGGTGAGAGCGGGAGCAAGGGGACAAGTCGGAAAGCCATCCCAGGACCACAGGAAGAGATGAGGTCAATGACGGTGACTTGGACTAGGTAGTGGCTATGCAAATGGCAAGGACTGGGCACACTCTGGATGTACTTGGAAGGAAGAGTTGAGAAGAATTATTGCTGGATTGTATTTGAGGTGGGAAAGAAAGAGAGGACTCAAAGATGATAAACTTTTGGATTTGGGGGCCTGAGCAACTAAGTAAATGGCTGGGACAATTTATTGATCTGGAAAACAAAGCAACCTACAGGAGAAGTGGGTTTAAGGCGATAGGCTATGGGGGAAATCAAGTGTTTGTTTAATATAAAATGGTAGGTATCTGTAAGGCATACAAGCGGATATTCCAGGGGCTCTAGCGTCATAAAGCCATATCGAAGTGATAATAATCCTCACTCTCCCCTTCTTGTACACACCCTACCTCTGTTGGTTTTCTTTCTCCCCACACAGGACCCTCTCTGAACTGCTGCTGCACATTGGACCAAGGCTGGCCACTACACCCAAACTGGGCCAGTCACACTGGTTCTCCTCAGAAGGTGAAGCAGGTCATAGAGGCAGGGTTAGCTAGCCATGGCTGTCTAAGTGGATGGTCACAAGGACTTGGGGTCCTGAGATGGCCAGGACCAGTCTTGTGCATGCAAACTAATGAGCAGAAAAAGTCAGATTGCAAAGAGAAGCAGGAAAACAGAGAAGCTGTGTAGACGCAAGAGAACATGTGAATCCTGACACAGAGAGAGGGACGAAAGCCTCAGTTACCTGGCTCACACAACTGCAGCTATACATATATCTCAGGAACCCACCAGGGATACTGCAGGGTGTAGGGAAGCCCATTCAACTTCTAAACCATCTGAGCAGAGCTACACCTGCAGCCCTGGCAACCATTACAGTGTATCAAATTAAAGATTATCCGGAGTTATCCAGAAAACATTTATGTTCAGTGCACTTTGTATTAAGCAAAATAGGGAAAATACAAAATGGTTTAAGAAAGCATAGTTAAAACTATTAATTAAAATCTATTTGCATAAATACATAAAATACATAATACATATACATGTTTATAAATAAGCATTTAGAATATATAATTACTGAGAACAATCCATTTCTCGGATAGGTGAAGTTCTACAGTACACTGAGTTTCTTAATTACCTATTTTTTCATTCTCAAGGGCTATAAAGCACTAAATATGACTCTGCCTTTCAAGTAGCTTTATTCTGAGGGGTGTTGTCCTTAATTTCTAGGTCTGACGTTATCAGTCAGTACCCTTGTAGGTTGATTCCACACACTCATCTCCGATCCTTTTCCTTCTTTCAAATAATTATACATAATTTTATACACACACACATATTTATAAAAGGCCTTTGAAACAAGATTTTTAAGAATTCAAATATGAATATGAATAGAGATACAGAATTACCCTTGTTTCTTTGTTTTCCAAGTATGAATATGTATTTTACTAATTTGGGGAACACTTCTGCTAAATGAATAGGACACTACATAAAAAACTATCTTATCTCTCGTCTTTCTTTTTTGTTTTACTTGTTTCTGTTAAAGAGTAATTTTGAACAGATCTTCTTATCATCAAGGAAAAATTGGCTCATTGGGTTAATATTCTGATAACTGGATTTTTTAATAAAAGGATCATATTATAGAAATACTGCCTAACCCAGCTCTGGAACATTAATATGAATTACTCTTACCCTAGGAGGCATGTTTTGCTTTAATCTACTGCAGGGCCTCAGAATATATTTACTGACTTGCCCTAAAGTCTTTGTGGGAAAACATGGGGAGCACTTACTGGCAGTCACTACATCAAATGGTTTCAGGCAGCGTTAACAAGAATAGAGGTGATGGGTTTGACTACAGGGAGTCGTGGACCAAAGGCATTCACTGTAGAGAGTAATCACATTCAGATGGGCGAATAAGGCATATCTGCAGGACTGAACTGGCTCCCTGACTGCACTCAAGGGAAGGTCAGTGAATATTAACTGAGCCTGAGTCATTATGGTAGCACAACAGATCAGCGATGATACTCATTCTAAAGCCTCTTACTAGAAGTTTCTGTTGATACGCTATGATTTTCTTCCAGAATGCTGACTCTGGCACTTCCTGCTCTCCATATCTGTGTGTGTGCAGCTGCCGCAGCTTCTGTTTACCCTTCTCTTCTCTGGCTTTCTCTTCTTTCTCTCCGTCTTCTCCCCTGTAAAAAGGAAAAACATGTAAGCTATCCAGAAACTAGCGAACTGCACAAGTGTGCAAAAATGGATGAGTGAACAAATATTTTTGGTCATAGTATCAATTTTAAAAACTAATTTCTGGGCCGAGCCCGTGGCGCACTTGGGAGAGTGCGGCAGCGCTCCCGCCGCGGGTTCGGATCCTATATAGTGATGGCCGGGGCGCTCACTGGCTGAGCACGGTGTGGCCGGTCTCAAAAAGGACAAAAAAACAAACAAACAAAAAAAACTAATTTGTTTTCCAATGAACGACAATATTCTGAATTTTAGCATCAGGGATAAGATTTCCTGCTGATCACAGCCCTCTGTAGACAGATACTTCAGTGAAGTTCAAACCTAAAGGACATTTTACAGGCTTGAAGAGTCTTTATATGCAGCAGATTCCCTCCTAACTGTGCAATAAAAAGACTTAACTGAAAAAGAGAATAACAATAAAGACTTTTTTTTGCTGTGACTTTCCAACATAACTTATTTTTAAATTACTATGTTAGTGCTCACTTTTTAACATTGTCTAGCTATTAACTCTTAAAATCAGAGGCCTATGCACTTGGTTGTTCACTGTATAAAGTATGTCAATATACTGATATACGGACATATATTAATTTTAACTAATCTTATTAATTAAATAAAATATACGAATGTAATGTAATTAAGCCAATTATATTAACATCGTACTAATTCCAGACAATAATGGAATTAAAAGCACTGAAACTTGATACTTTTCCTCTAAGTGCAAAATAACCCTTTACGAATGAAAGTGAAATCTTATATATAATCCACAGATATAAGCTATATTTAACCTTAACCCACATGAAGTACATCTAACCCTATGTTCAGCATTAGAGAATTGCCATTGAAATGCCTGCTGGGCCCTGCTATTCTAATAGCCACTGACGTGGCCATTTTTTACAACTGCTCCAACAGTGCAAGCTCCATGACGATGAACAGCACTGACTGCAAAGAACAGACAATGAAAAGAAGCCAAAAAAAAAAGCAGAATTTAGGAGAAAAATAAAATGCTGTGTGGGAATAGTAACACTACAGGGATGTAAAAATTTTATCTTTCCCCAATTTTACCAAATGTAGATATAAACCTATATAAACACAGGGAAAGATGTAGCCTTCAATTACTAGTAGAAAGCCGGTGTTACAAGGGAGTTACACGTTTTCATTGCCTCGTACCGGCTCCTTATTTCTAATTGCCACATTTAGAATTGTGCTCCAAAGTACCGGAGTGTTGTAGGAAATGAAGATCCCTGGGCCCCATGCCAGACCTGCTGAGGCAGCATCTCTGGGGTGGGGCCCAGGGATCTGTGTTTTGGATTGCCAGGAATTGCTTTGCCCCGTCCTCCTCCTCTCTTCAGATCCAAGCCAAACTCTCCAGGAGATTTTCATGCACGTGGCCCTGGGACTATGCTCTGAGGGCCACCACGCCATAGGAGTCTGTGCAACCTCATTTGGAAGGTTCGTTTACTCCCTTCTTTAAAGGACAGAATACATGCATGATTTTAGAGACAGAACTTTGGCAATCAGTCATCCTGTGAATCAGGAGCCTGTTCCGTGGAATCCCTGGGGTCTTTTCTGCGAGATAGCATCACACCAATGGAATGCTCCTGGCATGAGAAGGCAGGAACGGAGCCGTGGGGCACCTGCACTTGTCCCCACCCACGATGGAGGTCCTCGCCATTGGTGCTTCGTCGTGTGGCTCATTTGCGATATGCAGTTCTCCAGTATGCCTCCCGAAGACAGAGCACAAGATAAAGAGACTTACTGAAACAAAGGACAGTATACAGAAACTACACATACTCAGCTTTTTCCGGTTCAGATTTGGTTTCTTCCTTTTCTTCCTTTTCCTCTTCCTTTGCCTTCTGTTCCTTGAATGAGCCAATGGGGAAAAAAAGAAAAGCAGGATTACACATGACCTTTGAATGAGTTTAGGGAGCCATGTGATGACACGTCAAACTGTACCCATCCAGGACCCCCTTGTGCTCATATCCAGATAAAAGTGCTGTGTCTGCTTTCACTCTACCGGCCCAAACATTCTCTTCTTCTGCACACACTGCTACTGCACGAGCAGTGTGGATGAACTTCCTCGGCCTCTTTTGACTTTCATTTCTCCTTTCAGAAATACCCTTCTTCACCTTATCCACCTACTCAGATCTTACCCATCCTTCAAGGCCAGTGTAAGTCCCACCTCTTAGTTCTCATCTAACTACGTCACGCCATACTGGCATTTCCATTTTCTCAACATACGCAGCCTCTACTGTCCACGGCCTATGTTATTTAACACTCAATAATTTTCTAACATGCATGAGGACATGCATGTTAGTTTTATCTCTCTAATAAACTGTTTAAGGCAATTTGAAAGCAGTGACTGCATCGTACCTTTTAATTCCTGTGAAACCGAGTGATGTCAGACACATGGAAAGTACTCACAGAATATTCATGGATGGAATGGTGGCTCAAATGACCAACGTCATTAGGGTGGGTACTTAAGATTACACCTTAATAGTTTAAGATAATACGATAATTTGTAAAGAATCTTAAAAAGCCTAGCTTTATCTACCAAAAAGCCATTTCTCTTTGGAGATTCAAATGGGGTATTTAACGAGGCCCTGGCACAAGCATGGAACCTGGTGTAAAGTTTATGTTCTGTGCCCGTCTGAAGTCCAGAGGATAAACTGCTGTGGTTTAAAGGTAGCTTACCTGAAACTGCTCCTGAACCTCAGGGATGGGGACTGGGCTGCTCATCAGGTCACTGAGGCCGGCATTTGGATTGTGAGGAATTAGTTTGTACTGTCCTCCTTCCCTCTTCAGATCCAACCCAAATATGTCCGAAAGAAGGTCACTTTCCTCTGCCAGTTCCTGCAAGTCTGTCAGGTCTTCTGAGGGCAGGGCGGTTTCCACAGGTTTCCTCTCTCCCTCTTCCCCATCCCCTCGAACCTCGTCCTGGGTGGGGTCTGGCATGTTGGCCAAGAGTTCTGCGACTTTGATCTTTTTAGCACCTTCTACCAGGCTTCCCCCCAGCAGCAGGCTGCAAACGATGCGGAAAAAGCCTCTGAAAACACTGGCCACGAAGTGCAAGAGGGTCATAAAAACACTCCAATAGGACGAAAAGAAGGCTGTTACCATGTCCCTCACGGTCATCTTTTTTGCCTTTTTCATCTGTTTCTTGAGGCTCTTCAGGCTGAGCATTCGCATCAGGGTCAGGACGTTGTACCTGAGAGCAAACAGGGCCGACTTGACCGTCAGGATGGAAAAGAAACCCACCCTGGGCCCCTGCTCTTCGGGCCTCTCCTTCTCACTTTCTTCTTTATTCGCTGACCTCTCGTTCAGGTCCGACTCCGAGATCTGAGCCGCCAGCTGCATTTCAAATATGGTGTCCTCGCAGAAATTAACGAAGAGTTCCATCTTCTCCTTTTCACCTCCTTCATTGACCACATCGAATATGAACTGCCTTTTGGACTCCTTGACCTGGGGCTTCTCCCACTGGGTTCGGCTGGACTCGCTGATTTCAAAGTAAACCCTCTCGATGCGCTTGGCACTTCCCATGATCTCAATGCGGCCCAGAAAGGGCTGGAAGTAATGCAGCACACTCTCCGCTAACTCCAGGAACGTCTGCAGCCGAGTGTCGTTGGGCATGTGCTCGGAAAGGTTTGTCAGAAGGACGGCGACGTTGAAGCTGATGTCCTTAGCAGGTTCATGGAAGCGTTTGACAAACTCTTCATAGTCAAGGGTTTCGTTCTCGTCGGTCTCCGCACAAGACAGAAGAAACTCTGTTTCTGACTGTGTGTAGTGCTTGTGACTCTCCATCGCTTTGTGGAAGTCCCTCTTGGAAATGACCCCCTTGCCATCAGGATCATATTCTTTAAATGTATCGGAAGATGTCAAATCCTTTAGTTTTAAAAACATGTCAAAAAATTTGAGAATCATCTCCACGTTATTGGAAGACTCCACAAGCATATCGACCATCTGTTTGCCGATTGTCCCATTAACGACATTACCTGGTGGTAAAGGTAAAGCAATTGCATTTTGTTCAAAACAAACCTTCCTGACAAAGCCAGTGTCTATAGAGAAGATAACAGTATAGACCTTTTATAACATCTGAATCAAGCATATTTCCTTGTTTATCACCACTAATGTATGAAGGCTCGGGAACAGATGGTAATTATTTGTAAGCTATGCTGTAAAAAAAGTGATTACACGAACACACGCAAAATCATATTTACAAAATTACACTGACACACATAAAACAATATTTGAAAAGCTGACATGTTTTCCTCTCAAATTAATCAAAGAAGCTACATGTTTTAGATAAAGAAATTGGGGCAAACAACCAGAAATTAAAATCCAGTCACATATTATTAATAAAAGTGAACATTTGCATAGACCTTTAGGGTTGAAAAATCCCTTTCATAGACAATATCTGATTTAGTGTTCATAAGTTTGTAAGGCAGGTACCTTTTATTAATTCTAACTGTGCCAATGAGGAAATTGAGGTTTAGCAAGGCTAAATTAATGTGCCCGTTGTGACACGATTATTAACAATTAGTGCCAGGACTTCAAACCAGAAGCAAATATAATTTTCTGATAAAAAATTACATGCTTTTTCTAATTTAAAATAAAAAGCATTTTCCTATATTTCTTCATGGTCCAGAGTGTTTATAGTTATAAAGTGACAGATTGCTGATAAGATTAAGGAAATTACATATTATCCTAAGTTAAAGAAGCATGGAATGCTTTTATGCCAAAACAGAATGTGCTGTGCAACCTAAAGACAGACGCTAGAAGAAAGGTGCCTGGCAGGAGGTCTGTAGGGACTATCTGTGAAGCAGTAAGCACCGTGGGTTAGGAGAATGGGATCCGGAGCCACATCGCTGGGTTTGGATCCAGGCAGCTGAGCAACCTGGACAGAATTCTCAGCCTCTCTGCACCCTCGGTTTCCTCATTTGCAAAGTGGGGGTAATGATGCAAACGTAATGATTTAGGTAATGATGTACGTAAGCCAGTATCTGGCACATTATAAGAAGTTAGTTTTAAGTTAATGCTGTGGTTGCTGCTGCTGCAGTTATTATCATTGTTGCTGTTGTTATTTAAACCAAAATTTGAATTGAGGTCATGGTAAATGGATCCTGTGCTTGAGGGGTATAAAGTGGCTACTACTGCTGCCAACTGTGGGTTTTAAGCAAATGGTACAATCTTCAAAGTCCTAGTGCAGGGCACGACAACCGCCTCAGTGCAGTTATGCAATGTACAGCAGAGTAAAAAACAGACAGAGAAAACAGGAAGGATTTAAGGAAAACTATAGGTAACATAATACCAAACAATTCTTAGCTGCTTTAGCCATGTTTATGTGATTCACCGAATTCTCACATCACTCTACCAAATTATCCTCACTGTCTGGCACAGGAAACTGAAAACAGAGATGGAGCTCGTCCAAGGGCCACACCGCCAGGAATCAGGAAGCCAGGAGTTGAGCCCTGGCAGCAGGTCTCAGAGCCCAAGCTCTTAACTACTACATTTACTGCCTTATACAGAAAAGAAATGCAATAGCAAAGAAAAATAGGCTTGAAAGAGGAGAGAGAGAAAACTAAAACAGAGAGAGGCTGTGGTGGGGAAATGAGACTGGGCTGAGGCTCTCCTGCAGTGTTCTCGTCTTTGTCTGCCTGCCAGGACTTTAATAACCCACAGGAGTGACTATGTGGTCACCTCACAGCAGCGACTGATGTGGTTGGAGTTTATACAAATGTCTGCAATCCCCACCAATTACAGAAAAATAAACCAACAAACAAAATCTTTATACACTCTCTGTCTGGAGAGCTTACAATGCTGTGGGAGATCACGATGAAATGAAACGTGTTACTAGAAGTAACTACTGCATTCGTTCCATCAATGTGTAAACTGAGATATGCAGAATTTCCCTTTTTAAAAAACCAAACAAACAAGTAAACAAAAACAACTAACTTGAGAAAAAGAAAAATAAAGCCAGCAATAAACCCAAGGTGTTTGTTGCATATTAGTGTTGTTGTTTTAGCTCTCGCTGCATGCTCACTCCACAAGCAAGTGCATACCGATCTTTAAAACAAAAGAATAAAAAGAACTAGAAAGTATAATTTAAAACTACCTTCTAACATGGACAGCAACATGACCACCATATCCTTTTGAAGATCCATTAATTCTTTTAATAGCTCAATTTGGCTGGAATCCTGAAAATATTAACATATTGCATTTCAGATACTACGAGAAAACTATGCAGCAAGAACAACACGCTCATTCTCACAAAAGGAGGACTGCACTGCTGACGGCAAGCACCATAAAGCATTAGGCAACTAATGGAAGGCCTAATGCGTGGCTTATTAATAATAGGTATGCTTTGGAATTAAACAGTATTTTCTCTTGGCTTCCACTCATGTTCATTAAAGCATCTGCAAGGACACTGAGCACGTCTAACAAGAATATGCGATAACTAGAGCAGTGGTGGATTGTCTAGTGCCAGGAAAGACACACGTGTTTCTGCACAGTTGATACCTGGATTTTACCAGAAAAGGCCACATTTTTCCTTCTTTCTAACTTCTTACACAAAGTTGCTATATAATATGTAAAAATTAACTTATTCTAGAAAATATAGGCATATACGTGACACATGAGATAAATTTATCTTACATAAAACTAACCAAAAATGAACACAAGTATTATCGATTTGAATACTGCACAATGTATCTCATTTACCAATTTCACTAAGCTTTCCAGTATCTCCCTGGTTAAAGTTTTCTGATCTTTTGTCTTTGCTTTTGATTTTTTACCATGATTTTTTTTTTTTTTTTTTACGTAGACGTGTTATGTCTAAACATCCTTATGCTTAGATCTAGTGCCTGGAAATATGGAATATGCTTACATCTACATAAAAAACTTACATCTCATCAAATTTTTAAAATTAAATCATCCTTTTAAAAAAAGAATTGTGTAGGGTACCATTATTGATTTGGATTTTGCTACATATGAAGTTAAATTTCTACACTGATGGAAAAATGAGACTTTTTCTTTTTGATTAGCTATTACCATGACTCTGTCCATAAACAATGAAAAACTGCTAAGGAGCACTAGATCTTAAATGATGGAAATACATCAGAATGAAAACACTCTTCTGAGTGTATAAATTTGGTTCATGGTGGTTTCTTTTACTTACTGAAATGTCATGAGTGATTAGATGAAAGAATAATGACATTTCTGTATTTGGCTGAAGTCACTAATAACCAGATAGTGACAAAGATTCTCTCCTTGACCAAACCCTAGCCGGGCTCTTCTGAGCCCTCTTCTTGACTAGGCCTCAGCCTTGGCTGGTAAAGACTTGAACAAACACTAGCACAGTTTCTAGCAGCTCAAGGTTGCATCTATAGGATGACTCTAGCCCTTCTTAAAGTGCCTGCCTGAGAAAACTCAAGGCTGCCAAACAATTTACTGCTCCAGACAATACCTGGGGCTAGGACCTCTGTCTCCCAGTCTCTGGGGGAGGACAGAATCATAACTTGGTTAACTGCCAAACAGCAGGCACAGCTGGCCTAATCTCACTTACACCAACTAACACTTTGTAATTTTTAATTTCCCTAACTCTAGAGAAAGAGCCCCTGCTCAGTGAGTTCAGTTCACACTGGACTCTTTTCCCTGTGCACTACTTATTACTGATTAAAATCTTTCCTTACCACTTTAACTAGTGTCTGGCTTTGTTTCTCTTTGACAACGTGCTCCTGCCTGGAGGCCAGAAGACAGGTTTGAGTGTCCTCACTTTACTGCAGAGGAAACAAGGCCTCAAGGAAGACAAAACTGGCCTACAGTCCTGGGACCCACGAATGAAAGCTTGGGGACTGCAGTGGCAGTATTCAGTATTCTGACTTTAAATCTAGCATTCTTCCTTCTACCTGACCACCTGGCAAATCCTACACCCTGACAGATATGTCAGATGTCAGGATATACCATTAAAATTCACCCATCAAATGGACACGTTTACTCAGGATTTATAGTATGAACTTTTCTTTCATGTATCTTTTAGCTTCAAATGAAACAGATACAGTAGTGAGAAAACAACAAGCTGATGTTTCAAACAGGCACTCCCAAACTAACATTGAAAAGCGGTGGACCAGCTGGCTGGTTAGCTCAGTTGGTTAGAGCTGGTGGTGTAACACCAAGGTTAAGAGGCTTGTATCCCAATACCAGCCAGCTGCCCAAACCAAACCAAAACAAAAAACCTTACATTTAAAAAAAAGAGGTGGAAAATCTGTTTATTCTTTGCTTATCCTTATAGCTATTATTTTCTCTCTGACATTCACAAAGTTAAATTCCCTGGTAATGGGTGAATGTCATACACTGAAAACAGCTGCTTGTTTATGACCCTATAAGAAAATTGCCTCCCTTCCCACTAGAGATTTGTAACAGGTTACAAATCCTTTTTCAATTATCTATAAGGGAGAGGAAATTGCCAGTGAGCAATTACCAGGAAGCGTATCTCTGAGGACGGTGACATGTACAATGTTTGGGAAGTCCACTGTTTTATTTCTCTATTACATTCAATTCTTTAATGTCCTTTGCTCTTAAAACTGAATAATGGCTCCCATAAAATGTTTTAATGTAGAGTAAAAGATATATAAAGCAATCTCAAAAAATAATGTTCAAACCTAAGAAAGCATGTTTAATTTACCAATAATTTTCAGTCTCCAGTTTGTCAATTACGGTAGTGGAAGGCAGTTACTTTACCTGAGACAGCTTCATTTGCATGTGGGCAAACACGTGCAGAAAGCCCACCACTGCGTCCCACAGCCGGCTGTGGGCCAGGCTTTGCTGGTTCCCAGTGCAGGGACCCTGCAGCACAGAGAGACAAACAGCAATCACTCCTGAGAATTGATTTGCCAAAATAAAGTTTACAATAATAGGGAAAAAATTAACTTAGTATTTACATATCGTATTGCCACCATGTTTTTAGAAAAGATAGGAACCCAATGTGGAAGAGACACTAAGTTGATAACTGTATCCTTAAGAGATAAGCATGTTCTTCTGTGAAATGTTTAATAAATCCCCAATAACGTTTCTCAAAGATTTTATGTTTTGTGTCTGTATGCATACTAAAACATGGACAAAACAGAATGGCGAATCATTTCATTTTTGTCTTGCTTTGCTCTTTTCCACTTAGAGGAAAAGGTTAAGGTCCAGGTGTTTTGGCTGTTAAGTCAAATCAATCAGTAGTCACTGCCTTGTGTTGAAAAGAATCTGAGAACATGCTTAAGATGAGAGGTGATTATTTCTTATTCCTACATAGTAAGCTGGATAATGCATTCAGATGAGAAAAAAAAATCCTCTTCAACTAGTAAAGAGTTTTGCACATAGTGAGAGCTCAAAGAATGCTTCTAGCTTCAGATAAATTCAGGAATTTTACTTATTTTAGGAACCAAGAAATGCCCACTTGTGGCTGAAAAAGCATTTAACTTTTATCTGGAAAACAGAAATCATTTTCTAACCATTTCTACAAAATTCACCGGCTTGCTCATGTCATCAGTCAATCTTATCACTTAATCAGGACAGTTTCAATGAACGCTGTGTTATGCTGATATCCTTCTAGACATCAGATGAGAATACTAAGGCAATTATAAAAGCCAGGGAAGGGGCCGGCCCGGTGGCGCACTGCTGCTGTGCGCCGCTTGGGAAGTGCGGCGGCGCTCCCGCTGAGGGTTCGGATCCCACATACAGACCGGTTCCCGCTCACTGGCTGAGCGAGGAGCGGGGGCAACACCGAGGGTTGCGATCCCGTTGCCGGTCCCGGTCCAGTACGGGCGCGACACTGAGGGTTGCGATCCGTTGCCGGTCACAAAAAAAAAAAGACAAAAAGACCAAAAAAAAAAAAAAAAAGGCCAGGGAAGATAAGAAAAGAGAATATGAGTGGACGGAAACTGACTTACACTTTCACTACTATTCGATTTTATTTATTTATTTTTTTTTTTTGTCTTTTTCAGTGTCCGGCAACGGATCACAACCCTCAGTGTTGCCCCCGTACCGGACCAGGGACCGGCAACAGGATCGCAACCCTCGGTGTTGCTCCCGCGCCTCGCTCAGCCAGTGAGCGGGAACCGGTCTGTATGTGGGATCCGAACCCTCGGGCGGGAGCGCCGCCGCGCTTCCCAAGCGGCGCACAGCAGCAGTGCGCCACCGGGCCGGCCCCTTCCCTGGCTTTTATAATTGCCTTAGTATTCTCATCTGATGTCTAGAAGGATATCAGCATAACACAGCGTTCATTGAAACTGTCCTGA